GACGGAAGTACACCTTCACTGAGTCGTAGATGAACCACTGTAGAGCGGTCAGTGTGCCAATCATAATGATTCGAGCAAAAAGACCCTTCCACACACCTGTGGGAAAAACAGTGCCCATATGAACATTCATTTATACACAGATTGACTAGAACTGTTACTAAACTGTGCTAATCTATCCCTCTTATCTCATGTCATGACACTTAAACATGCCAATAAATAATTAACAAAACGAATTGGTCATTACTAATTTCTAATGAGATCCCTATGATGCTGAGCTGATTAAATGGGAATAAATCCAGGAACAACAGCCTCCTCTTTTGGTAATAAAGAGTATTACATCCCTCTGCAACCTCAGTTGAAATGGTGCTTCAAGGTCTAAAGTCTTTTATGAACAATATAATAACAATAAACATGTATAAACAGTTTTTAACAAATAATTAAAAAAACAATTTGAGAGGGGGAATAAACAATATTATACAAAGAGAAGCAGAAGATGCCTAAACAATCGAATAGGTTTCAGTTTTTTGTTTGAGGGCAAAATTGATTCAGTATAATGTATTACTTAAATTTTTTTTTAAAACACTTCATCAATGCTTTCATTATAAAAACAAGTACATTTAGCTATAAAAAAAAATAAAAAAAATAATAATAATATATATATATATATACACACACTGTATATATATATATATATATATATAAAAAATAATATATAATAAAAAATAATATAATAATAATTAAATAAATTCTACCACAGGGTGGTCCTCTGACATAAATTGCACATGCTACAGTTTACATCTGTATCTTTAATCAACAAAGTATTTATTTGATTAACAGCTGTTGACTGTTATGTGTAATCTATGTGTATGCAGTGACTCACCTGCAGGGCCCAGCCTTTTCAGCACCTCAACAGTTGAACTGCCTTTCTCTTTATTCAGTACGGACACCACAGAGTCAGCGGGATGGGACACCACAGCACAGAACACGCCAGCTGAGAACAGACATTCAACACAGCTTATATGTATCTATATCTATTGATGCAAACTTCAGCCAGTTCTCTTTTCAGATATATATCATGCTAATCTGTATGTCTAAATGTTTCTAAACTTGTACCTAAGGGCCTAACCACTTTTGAAGTTAACTTACCAATATAACCAGCAACAAAGGTCACCACCAGCTGCTCAGGTTTGGAGCACTCACTGCGCGGTTTTGGTACTATGTACTTGTACAGTGTCTCCACGGTTCGCTCGAAACAGGCAAACTTCATCATGGTGTAAGGGATCTGCCTCAGCCACAAGGGATAAAGACCTTTATAGAACCTGCACAGACAATAACACCCACAATCAGGACTCCAGCATGTTTTTCCACTAAAGAACCTTTAGGTTCTTCATGGAACTACTGATGTTGCTTAAAATGCCTTTATTTTTAAGAGTGTAATGCAGTCAACGACAGTCATTTTGTTCAGTTTGGTCAGCCTTAACCCTCTAGAAGTCTTTTTTTGAGCAAAAAATAAATACATAAATAATAATAATAATTTGCGTTTGATGAATTATATATATTCAAATACAAAACCTAATAAAAGTAAATAATTATATCTGAAAATATTCTTATATATATATATATATATATATATATGTGTGTGTGTGTGTGTGTGTGTGTGTGTGTGGGTGTATTATATATATAAAGAATATCTTTTTTATTTATTTATACAATATATAGCCCTGTATAAACATTTAGAAAATACATTTGCTTCTTTTTAACTGTAATTGGAAATAATGAATTTTTGTTTCTAATATTTGTATAGAAAAGGTTTAGAAGTAAATATGGTCTAGATTCAAGAAATCCCCTCAAAAATGTGTTATTATTAAAGAATAAATATTACTGAAACAAAATATAGCATTCATTTCATAATTCATTTCATTAACCAAAAAAGCTTATTTGGTATGTTTAGACCTCCGAGGGTCGTAAGTGTGACCCCTAAGTGAGGAATACCAGAGGGTTAAGGATCTACTCACGCTTTTAGCCCCTCCTCAGCATGCATTTTGGGGGCGCACTCTTTCAGGGTGTTAGCATAGCCGGGCTGCGTCTGGATACGCACTTTACACGCTTCCATAGGAGCCAGTGCAATATCAGCAAAAAATTCAGCACTGGCAGATGCGGCCAGATACACTGAAGTCCTCCACAAATAAGCATTCTCCTGCTCACCAGACCAAAAATGACAGCAGTTAGCTGGTGATATGTCACAAACGAATATGCAAAAATATGTCCAATTAAGCATTTTGAAATGATCTTTGCAGGTTGTCTTTGTATCCCAAAGACGACTCACCTCTCCAAGCATGTCGTTGTACAGGGCCTTAAAGACTTCATAGAAACCAAACTTGCAAAGGCCTTGCATGGAGTAACCAATGAATGTAGGAGCCCACCCTTTGCCCAGACCCCTCAAGCCATCCTCTCTCAGGGTGACTGAGAAACCATTGAAAATGGACTTGTACTTATCCGGGTCCACCTGGAAGACAATATAAATGATGCATTTGCCTAAGTCTGGTTACACAATCAGTCAAAACAAGTTGGTAACTTCTCTAATGTAACATTAAAACGTGTAGAAACTAAAGAAGTAAAACAGACACCTGTATGCGGCATTTAATGAGGTCGAGGGGCACGACCGCTGTGTGTGTGAGACCACAGCTCAAAACCCCACCGAAACCGCAGAGGGCGTAATATTTATTTGACCCATATTTACAGCTCACATCTGCATCTGAGGGACAAAAACACACATTTAACATCACAAAACTGCTCACAAACATCAATACTGTGTGATAAAACAGAGGAAAAAGTACATGTGAGCTTAATTTAAGAGTTCATGACAGATACAGTAATGTTGTTTGAATTGAGAATAAATTGTTTCAGTCTGATCCAGTTCAGAAAACCTGAATGATTTATTTATGAACTGGATATTGTGCCTTTCTCGAGTTCAACTCACTAATTCAATGAGCTGTTTGCAGCAGTTAACAGTAAATAACTGAATAAATTGAGTTTGCCACACAAAACTATGGCATTGCAGAAGACTTACATTATTTATATACATTATATATTCTTTACAAACCATTTGAACTACAATCATGATGATTTTGCAAGCTTTGTCCTCATTCATTGTAATTGCATATAGAAACCAATCAGCACTAAAATGTCTTCTTTTGTGTCCCATAGAAGGACGAAACAGGAATATAATGATATTTTGGGTCAACTATTCTTTTAACAGTAAATAGGTGTCCTTCATATTCAAGTGCAATATTTTCTTGAGAAAAAGTGTCTAGGAATTAACAGGCGATCATGACAAGGTAAAGTCTATTAGCCACACGTGTAATCCTTTTGGAGGAGGTTAATTCTTTACGAATGGAATGACGAGCATTCTGACAGTCGGAGTTCACTTTAAATATAGTAGCGTATTTTCACTGAGCATCGTCACAATGCCAGCAACCAAAAAATGTCCAAAAAATCTTACAACACATAATAACAACCATAACAATTACTGCAAACAAAAAAAGCTACCTAAATAAATACTAGGAAAATAACAAATAATAAATAAAACAAATAAAATATAAGAGGACAAAATAAAAAAAATATGCAAAAGTCATATGCCATGTCTACTTTTTGCAACCAACTTTCCAATTCAGAAGATAAAGACGAAGAACTTCTTACCATCATAAGCTGCTGCAGCAAGTTTGCGTTTTATCTGCTGGCTCTCTTGTTGCTGTTGTGGTTTCATGGAAAAAAGAGGAGTCTGGAAAGGATTCAACCGTGCCTGCTGTGTTAGGGCGATTGGGTACATTTTCACCAGGGTTTACTGCTAAAACAGACAGGTGACAATTAAAATCAAACAAAAGTAATCCGTTCTTGCATACATTGCTAAGAAATAAAGCACTTATCTCTCATTCAAGTATTTGAGAAATTCATATTGAAAGAAATCGTCCACTCACTTGTTGGTTGTAAAGAAACGGCGCCTCCTGTGTGCATCAGCGGCAGGCGAATCTAAGACATCAGATGACCTCAGACTAAATCACCCTGACCTTCTGTGACGTCATCACACTTGAGCATGAACACCAACCCATTTGAAAGAGGAATTATGTTACTATGGGCCACACTAGCATTCATAAAAAATGAAAAAACTACACCATTCTGTTGAGTTATTGGTGTAAATATGTGTCCAACTAAATTATAGTAACTGATGGTTGGGTCTCACTGCAAACTTCAGCTCATGGTAGTGTGTGTGAGCTTATTACGCACAGCAGTGGCTGGTGTAAGGCGATTAAACTCAATGAGACACTCTATTCCTGGACCAGAGCAGAGGGCCTTGCAGAGTTATATCCTCCTTAACTATCCCAGATCAAAGTAAGGTCAGACTTGCCAGTGTCTCTGAAGAACTGCTGCAAACCCCTTCTCTCAACTTGAAAGCAATACATTTAGTAGAGGACGTGTGCTAATAAATTAGGTCAAACATATACACACACACTTATCAAAATAAACCAGCCAACTGAGATGTACATTAGGTAAACTGCTTTATTAAACCATATTCTGTCGTATACATAAAAAGTACCTGAACGCTCCCAGATTTCTCACAAATCTACAGCACCTTATGATATAAAATAAATACATATTCAGAATATTGAATGGTAAATGCATCAGTCTTAAAAGCAGAGTAAAGGGCATAATTGGTGGCCATTTTACCCATTGTCCAGTTCTACCAATGTAACATATCAAGTATCAGGATCTTACAATGTTTACGAACTCACATTTTTAAAGTCACTTAAATTTAATAGTGATAATTTATAGAGTATATTTTCCAAATTTGAGAACTAGACAGTCGAGTTCTTGTTGCAAACTCTCAATTAGATTGTTCAAATTAATTGTTGACATGTTACAAAACTACTTGTAACGCCAAGATCCCGAAATAACAAAAATGAAATTATTAAAATGATAATAAAAATATTAAATGGCATTACATTGCAAAAGAGTTTATTGAAAATATTTGTATTTCAACAACATACACAAATACTACAAGGGCCGTCAATGTTAAGATACGGCACCTATAAAGAGCTACATGTGAAAATAAATGCAAAAATAGTCACAAGTAGACACTAAATGTAGTTTACAAACAAAACAAGTGTATTTAGCCAATTCCTTCAGCACTTCAACTCAGTTAGACTCACATTCATTGACAGCACCAACAATTATCTGTAAAATAATGTACAAATGAAACGCGCACACACACTCAACATACAAAAGGCAAGAAAAGTGACCGTTTTAAAATTAAAACCAGGCTTCATTCCTCTAAACTGGTTCATTTGGAAGAGGGTATGAACAGACATGATGCAAAAGCTGGGGCTTTCTGTCTTTGTATGAATCTATAAAGATCGCAGATAAAAGTCCACGGCTGCTGTATCAACAGAGACGTACTGGCTGAGTATGATAAAGAGGGAAAAGACTGGGGCGATCCGCATAACATTCATTTGCTGGTGCCATCATCTGCTCCGCTCTGCTTGAAGAGTCCAACCTCATTAGTCTCCATGGCCTGGTAGACAAAGAACAGGAATCCAGCGACTGCAGTGAGCAGCAGAAGCTGCACCCACACAGGCAGGCTGCGCCGCGCTCTGGTCTTCACAGCAGGGGGCGCCACGGGCTTGGAAGCGGTTAGAGGGACGGCGGTCACACGTGGAACAGATCGGGTCTCTGTGTAGGTGGAGAAGGAGCTGGTTTCTCTGAGCTCCTTAAGACGGAGACGGGATTCGTCCAGCCATGTGTCACCGACCAGGGGCCGGCCAGCTGCTCCTCTGATTGGTCGGCGACAGGTAGCACTAAAAATACATTTGAAAAATAAGTAAATATTTTGAAAAAAATCTGCTTCAAGGAAATTTACCTCGTTTAAAAGTTTATTTATTTATTTTTTTTTATAAAAAAAAAAAAAGACATACTTTTCCAAAAATACTTTTACTTTGTCCATACATTTAAAAAAAAATTGATTTATAGTTGTTTATTTGCAATCTTTTGGTACTTGTCAGTTAGCTGAAATTATCTGTTGTGTATAAAAAAATTCAGTTTTATAGGTCATAACACATTTTGTTCAGAATTATTTTATTAAAAAAAAAATAATAATAATTTACAATGCCTACAATCACTTGAATAAAAGTCTTTTATGATAAGCATGTTAATACTTTTGATATTTTTTGGGAGACAAAAATCAGTGTGATACAACTGTCTGAAAAGAACCAAGTTGTTTGCCACAATCTTTTATTATTATTTTATAAAAAAAATTCTTTATAATTTTATAAGTTTAAAGGGAGTTTTAAACCAGATTTGTAAAGACATGGACACTCTTATTTCTATTTGACCCTGGTGTTTGATCAGTGCAAGTGCTCTTCCCTCCATACCTGATTCCAGTAGGGGTGCTGAGGTTTTCATTGGGAAAGATCTCTTTAAGCACATCTCTCTCTACCGTCCTCGGGGTCTGATCAATAGCAGACACCTTTTCAACCTGCGCACAAAGACAGCCACAAAGACGTGAACACTGGTGCAGGACATAACATTACCACAAACATTGCAATACTGAAGATCCATGTTGTCAGCTTTCACTTTAAAAACAAAAGAAACACGTTACATCACACCACAGTCGTGCATAACCTCAGTGACTCTTGAATCCCAAGTTTCCTCATTACCTTTACATACCTGTGGAGCCAAAAACCATAAAGATCATGAAATTACCATTGCTGTCTTTGGCGTCTCCGTCTGGCTGCTATCAAGTCCTCGGACAGAAGTGATTTGGGAAAAGAAAGGGGTGATTTTGGACTGTCTAGTCTTGGTCTTTGGTGAGCCAAAGCTCTCCTGATAAACCAACAACGTAAATTACAGCACGAAATTCATGTAACATTGTAACCCATTACCATGTCAAAAACAAATGTCCATAAATGAACAATTATTCAACTGCAAACCTGGGAATGGTCATATGAGACAGGAAGAGAGTCCTCTGAAACTGTACGGGGGGAAGAATCCCTAAAAGAAACTGAGTGTGATGGGAAAACCTCTCTTCGGCCATCACAGGAAGGTGAAAGACGGATCACCATGTCCATCAAGGGTTTGGAAGGTTTGGTTTGACTCAAATGAGGCTTTGAGAGCTTCGATACTGTGACAGATTTGACTTCCTGTGCCTTCAGAGAACAGAACAGAACCTCGTGAGCTACTAAAATGAATGTTTAAAACGGTTATGAACTATCCGTGGATTGCCACGAGACATACCACAGGAGAACGGCTCGAAGGTCTACAGTTCAGTATGTCCTGCATACCCTGGCCATCCACCTGAGATTATGAAAATGTAAGTTAAGATCCTTTATGTTGCACAAATATGCATTTTGAGGCTGACTAGATGGACAAAAGTACAAAATGGTGGTTTGACATCTATTATACGTTGATTTAGAGCTAAAACCATGATGGATGTGTGTGTATTATCACCTCAACGCAAGCAGTATTAAGCAGGGAAACGAGCGGCTCTCGATTGGATGGTCTAATCAGAGGGGAAGTGAATTCAGCGGCATTCTCATCAAACTACAGAGAAGACATTTGAGTGACACACACACACACACAAAACAATGACCAACTCTATTAAATGTGATGCTTTCATTCTCAAGTTGAAAGACATGGAAGATTTATAGAAGGTTGGCACCTTGTCAGCAGGAGTGGCGCCATGTAAACCGGATAAGGCAGACTGGTAAGGAGAGTTGTGCCATTTTAGTGATTCTGCCCAGTTAGTTGCAGACATGGAGGAGCGCTTTGAGGGTTTGGGATCCTTTGGCTCTACCTTTAATATGACACCATAAGAAACACTGTGGCACTGGAAAATGAGCTGCATCATGTTCATGTGTGAGGTTTCTTCTGGACCTACCAAAGGTTGTACTTTCATCCTCACCAGAGGAATAGAGACCTCCTTCAAAACTGAGGACTCAGAGAAATCCTACGAGACATGATTTCCAAAAAACAAAACAAATGAGGCATGTTGTTCCAAACCTGTATGAATTTTTCTTCTGTTGAACACAAAAGATGACATTTTGAAGAATGTTGGTAACCACATGCCGGTAGCCATTTACTTCCATAGTATTTTTTCCATACCATAGAAGTCAATGAAAACCTGTTTAGTTGCCAACATTCTTCAAAACACCATCTTTTGTGTTCAACAGAAGAAACTCACTCACACAGATTTGGAACAACTTGCGGGTGAGTAAATGATAGAATTACATTGAGAACTTCAATTGTTTTGCCTTTCAAATTAAGATCTCAGACCAGGGTTTTTAAGCAGAACGACACCTTATCAGTAACAGGAGCCTCATTCAAATCAGGCCGATATGAGCGGACTGGTGCGCTGCGTCGTCTCAGAAATTCAGTCTTAGATGAGAGCTTTGACGTCTTGTCTGTGAGCAAAGGTCTGGGCTCTTTTCTTGTTGCCTTTAATATAAGGACAAAAGCATGTTCATGAAGTCAGTCTCATAATTTAGACAGTTGGCACTACGCCATTGTCATGGCCACCTACCACAAGTCCTGTTCTTCTCCTGTCTTGAGTAACAGGGAAGTACTCTGCAGATGAGAGCTCAGAGTTCTCCTGAAAACACCACACATGCATACAAATCAAAGTATATTTCAGCCTTGGCTCATTTATGAAACAAATATGAGCTCAACCAAACCCTGTCCACCCGTGTGCAAACCCAAATATGTTTTTTTTTTTTACTTTATCACCACACCCAGAAACCAGGTGATGCACATTAATATCATAACCACAGATTATGTTACGGTGTCGTCGCTTGCAGGAATTATCTGATCCAGCCTGTGAGAAGATCTCTTCAACTTTCTCTTAATGTTCAAAACCGGCATATCTTCCTCCTGCTTATGTTCCTCATCCTCCTACACATCACACAACAAAAGGTCTAGAATTTTCCATACATGAGTAAATGGCTTATCTGATACGGACAGCAGGTATGACAACATTCAAATGTGGAGCAGTCATGTGACCACCTGCAGTAGGTCAGATCTCTTCTACACCAGGTGGTGAACAGATAATGCTGGCAAAATATGAAGGTAGCAACATCGCATGGGGCAAAAAAATTGCAACTGTTTATATTAGAGACAGTAAACAGTAAAGGGCGAAAGGATGCAACGATTATACTACCTAAGAACTTGAACAGCTTTTATGTGAATCAAGAAGTCTTTAATGAGAGTATATTCTTGGCTATTTGTTTACAACTGACTTGGACAAGTCTACAAAGAGATGCAAGACCTTCACACAGGAATGAGAAAGCGAAGAGTGTCTGGAGGAAGGGAGGGAATAAGAAGATAAAACAGGATTAAAGTCTGGGCCAAGTTGAAGCTAAAGTGAAAGAGAGAAGGGATATGAGACAGTAGGAGTGCTAGCTGTAATTGAAATCATGTGAACATATCTTCAGTCAGCAGATTTTGCTTCATTTGCCACATACTCACAATTTTGGCCAGGCTACTTAATTGACCTTAGACTAATCGTTTACTCCTGTAACGAGATGCATTTCTGAATAAAATAGCATCAATATATTAATGAGAAAGGCAAAACATTTTATATACCAGGAATTGTTGGCTGAATTTATTTGATGAAAAATACAGTAAAAATGGTAATATTGTGAAATATTATTACAATTTCAAACAACTGTTTTCCATTTGAATACATTTAAAATGAAATGTATTCCTGTGATGGCAAAGCTAAATTTTCCGCAGCCATTAACACCAGTCTTGTATATGAAGAGTAGTGTATATCTGCCACCTCACTCCCTAGATATCGACATAGCTCGACCACTAGGCACAACAGCGGTTTTCCTTTGCTGCAGGTTAAACGGATTAAACAATTTGATTTAACCGAGATGCGTTTTGGCTGATGTACAAAAGAAGCAAAAAAGGAAAAGCACAAGCAAGCACAATGCACAGGTTTCGTCCTCCTCACCCTGTTGTGCTGGCCACTGCGTGTTCTGCTGGTCACTGGCGTTTTCCCTCTGCTCCTGATTGGTCTCTCCACAACTGGGATCGGCTCGGCCACTACTTCCGGTTCAGGTTCGGGCACAAACACAGGGGCTGGAGCTACCGTTTCTGACAAACAAGCAAAAGAGCATTTTTTAACATTTATTTCTATAAGTATGTGCTTAAATAAAGGGATCTTTTTGTCCATTACCTTCCTCTTTGTCGCTGTACTGGTCTGAGTCTGTGTTGCCATTCTGGCTGCCGTCTGTCTGTGACGTCTCTGAGGGAGGGGTCACAGTCTCAGGAGGACCTTGATCCAACAGCTTCTGAAGCCTCTTCTCGTAGACCTTCCGAGTGGACGCTGATGAGAAGACATTGGTTAATCAAATCAGTAAAGTTCTTCTGAGCATGACAAACAACAATGCGGAAATATATTGTTTGATTTAGATGAAAATTTCTTTGCCATCATGAAAGGGTTCTGCCCTATTCATAACAAGCAGTGAGAAAGTCTGCTGCTTTATCTGAAGAGCTTTCCAACATCCATTTAAGGACATTATAACTATTCAGGCCAGAGTTGGATAAACATGCAAAGCTGCATGCTTGGTGAAACTGCTGATTTACTGCTAGCCTTGCACAAGACCACAAGACAACGGCATTATTCCAGAAGTGAAAACCTGTTTTTAGTTGCTTGTTTGTGCTGTGACTAGGGATGTAACGATTAACCGCGAGCCGGTTGAAAATCGATTTAAATATGTGACGATTCAAATCGGTTGAGATGCTAAACAAATCGCGATTCAGTTAGGGGTAGGAGTTTATATGAATGTATGTCTGAGGGGAACTTACTGTCTTTCGATGGTAATTTTTCTTTTCCTCTTGCCTCTATATAATGCATATCAGGGCTCCAGACTCATTCTTCCCACTGGTCGCGCTCTTTTGCAACTAACTTTCTCAGCTGGTCGCACAAACGTTTACATTTTTTTTTTTTGCGCTACAACATGGGATTTAACTTTCTCAGCTGGTCGCATGAGCACATGATTTGGTCGCAATATTTGTTTTGTTTTTTGTTAGTTTTTTAACGAAACCCAGCGCTGTTTCGTTATGCTTTCAGTTTCGTTTGCCCTTTGATGTTTCTCATATGCAACACAAATTGGAGCGCTTATGAGTTGACCAACGCGGTCAACCCTATAATTATAAATACTAGAATTATAAATGAATAATTTGCGTAGTTTCATTTGTAAATGAAAACACCACTCATTTATCGTCACATACAGGTGTAAATGCAATCATAAAGTCAAAACTTTATTGGCATAATTGTCAGGCGTTTACAGTATTTAGAGAGTGAATCTGCATCTCATTCAGCTCTGCTGTTTCGGTTTAATGCAGATATTTTTTATGCAGTTTCACAAAACTGAAGTCAAACCATTCTGTTTTTGCTTCAAATTTAGAAATTATACAATGTAATTTAGATTAAAAACTGCTCATGTTGCATGTATGCAGCATCTTTGTTTGGATCATGATTAAAATGCAGTGGTTGCCTCTAATTTTAAATGGAAAGAGCACAGACAAAGCCTTATTTTGTTTATATGAAGAGATTTATTTTATTTGTGTTACTTATTTATTTGATTTGGGGCTTGTTTTAAATTTTCAATTTAGTTTTGTTATTTACATTAAATTTAAATTTAGTCATTTAGCAAACGCTTTTTATCCAAGGCGACTAACAAATGAGGACAATAGAAGCAATCAAAACCAACAAAAAAGCAATAATATGCAATGACAAGGCAAAGTTTTATTTGTGTGTATATTACATGTTATATTTCATGGTTTTAATAGGGTGTTTTTTTCTGGGGGTATTTCATGACCATACATGAAAAAAATGTTTAATTCATGCCTTAGTTTTGCTTATAGTTTACTTTTTCACTGCATTTTTCACATTTATTTAATTATGCATTTAATTTAGTCTGTTAAATCCCTCCATATATTTAGGCTCCCTTCCATACATTTGTTTAAATAATTAAGTCTTTAAAAAAAAAAAATAAGAGGAATAAAAAAAGAATACATTTTAGTACATATCTTAAAATATCTTATATCACACAAATGCCGTTTAATATACAGTGGCCCCATTTATTGCAGTTACTTTTAACCAACTGTTCCCAGGTTTTATTTTTTTATTTTAGGGAATATATGAAGCCAATTCTCCTCAGGTTCACACAGGCATCAACAGGTGTAGTTCACACACACCAACTTTTTTTGTTGCATTTGTTGTGTCACATGTCTTTAAAATAAATGCCACTTGGTTTGACATTTTGTTATAAAACAATGAAGTATTGCTTAAGTGCCCAAATACTTACTGTTGAAATTATATATTATCTGCAATATTTAAATGATACATTATCTGCAATATTTACACTTCACAGCGAGTTTGAATCTAATAAATGGCTCACCAACAATGGGTCCAGCGTTCAGGCCATACTTCAGTAACAGGTCTTTCAAAGCATCGTTGCTCAATTCGGTGACATCAACATCCTCTGGACGAACTTTGTCAGTTTTCCTGGTGGCTTTCTGTGAAGATTTATAATTTTCAGCTTAATATTCACATGCACTTTGCAAAGTTGTAGTACTGAAAATGAAAAAATGACATCATGGTAAAGTATTTTAACTTGTTAAAGCAACAGGTGTTTGCCTGACAGGCTCCTGATTACACACTGAAACAAGACGTGAGAGAAAACAAGTGCCCTGCCTGCCTGCTCCGAAATGCAAGCTAGTTTCAAAGGAAAATGCGAGTACATTCATTACATCCCCCCAGCCCATAAACATACTATACACACTATTACCTTTTTGAGAAACTCAGGAGCTCAGAGCCAACTGCGTGGAGTTTAAAAACAAGTCCTACGAAGAAAACACGCCTAGCATGTAAGTACAGGAGCAAATGTTAATTGAATAAACCAATCAAGTTAAATTAGACAGTGAAATGAAAAATCAATAATGCTTATGCAAAGTTCCATAGAGATGGCATTAGAGACTGGAGGCATTGCAAACACAGACTTTCGGAGTGGGACAAAGCACGAACAATGAAAATCCAGCCACATTCCCTGGAGTCGAGCCCCGCTCCACAAACACGACCATGTGACCGAGGAGAAATGGTGAAAACAGTGAAGAGGAGGAGGAGAGAATGTGTTACGAGGGGCAGGAGATCGTGAAGGCGCATGAGCTTCAGTAAGAGGCCTTCAGAGGGGCAGATCTGGAACACTGCCTACTCAAAAAACTTTCATAATCACAGCATTCCAGCAGGATGGACGGAAAAAAAACCTTTCCTTAGTCCACGGACAACACCCTCATTTCTGCCAATGTCACACTCAGCATGCGAGTTTCATATAGACTAACTGAATTTTCAGATTAATACTGTGCATCAATAAAACAAACACGAAATACACATCAGTCATTGTTTACACATTTTGAGAACATTTTAACATTCAATATTAGTGATGCACTGAAATGAATTTACAGAAAATAGGTAACTGAACTCTATGTTTTGAGAATGTTGTGTTCTCAGGTGATAAATTAAACCATTCAGTGTAAATTTCTTTGGCAATGAACCGCCTCTCGAAACTTCAGCTGAACAAATTTCACATATTGCTACTGTTGCATCATTTTTGGTCATCATTACCACTATCCAAAATAAAATTGAGTACCTTGATTCTCGAAAACAGAAAATAATGTGGTCAGAGCCACTGTACAATGAATCATACTGTACATAGTGATTTTTTTTTTGCATAATTTTTTTGTCAGATTAAGCTTTTGCTTTTCTGACATTTCTGGTTCCACGTTTCAGATCAGCAAGATTTATGGGCCATTGCAGAGCTGGTTTTTCAGTCCAGGAAGTGTCTTTCTATAGAAAGAGTTCCAGATTGGGCACCAGCACCCTGACAGACCTGAGCCAAGTCCTGTGGCTTTACACCAGCCCAACCAGCATGCCGTCAGCACACGTGGTTCAATGTAAAAGTCAACTCTTTGAAAAATTGCAATAATGAGACATGTGGGTTACCCACAATTTACCCAATTTTATTTTAACACAAAAAAAAGCATAATCTGGTCCAAACACTTTTACAATAGATTGAAGAGGTTGAACATGAGATCAAACAACTAAATGGGCCACAATTAATGCAACTTGGAAAAAGTGAGAATGATGTACACTATTGCGCGTCAATAAAAAAACATGCCAAAGTGGAGTGTCGCACATGTTTCTGAAATTACTATCTGAGAGCCAGCAACATCAAAGAGAAATGCAAAACACACACACATCTGGCAGCCGAAGCAGAAATTCCTCTTCACAAGAAAGTATTTCCTCAATAAAGGGACCAAAGCCATTATGAAAACAGCCTTGTGATACTCTCATCTTATCCTACAACTCCTAGACCTGTAACTTCCTATTCGATCAAGTCAGGGGTTTTCAAAATAAGGTCCAGGGACCCCCAGGGGGCCACAAGATAGTGCTAGGGAATCTATGGAAAAGTTTTTCTGTACTATAGTGAGAACAGAAAAACATTTTTATATTTATAATATTAATTTTGACCGTAAATTGCATCCTTATACATGACAGGCACACAGAGATATGTACCACGCACACACAATAGCTGCCTTTTAAATTTTGAAATAAAAATCCCTGATTTAACTTAGAGTAGTCTTTCATACCTGATAAATACGTACTGGCATTTTTATCACTGAAGAAAAATATCTTAGCAGGCAAGATAAGGAGGGGGTTAATGACAGGGAAACTCCCATTCAGGTAGATTTCATAATGACAGGCCACACTACCTCATTCACTGGAGTATAGAGAGGTGCCTTTAACATCAAACATCTATGTTAAAACATAAAAGGACTCGGTATAGTTGTCTGGGTGGAGGATTGAGGTAATCGGGTTGGCTGAATAACAAGAACTAACTTGAAACTTGTAGTATTCACTCTAAAAATGCATAAATAATGGCAACAATAGACACACCCTTACCTGATAGAAAAACTAAGCTTAGTCTGGCTGTATTATGCGTTTATAAAATAGCTATTGGTATTAAAAAATGAGTAACAAATATAGAGAAGTGGGGGGAAAAACACTCCCACTTCTCCAAGACCAGGTGCTTAATCACTTCAGCATTATTTATGAAATGCCAATGACCAGCTACATCACCAGATTTGGATGCATATCAAAACCGTGTGCATTTTCTTTTTAAATTACCATGGTATGCTAGGTACGAACTACGTACGAATTTCCACAGTATGTTTCTTCCCTGAAGTGTTCATTAATAAAGCTGGGCCTTTTACGTTTCCTGTGACTTGAATGGACACGCCTGCAACAGATGTGGAACTGAGATAACACGTAGTAGTGTAGATTTCCGACACGTTATAATTTCTGCAAGTCATGCATTTATGATTGTAAATGGATTTTAAACACTTAAGTGAAATTTAAATCAATGAATCAGACCGATGCATTTACGCGGGAAATAGAAAGTCTGAGTAGCGTTTGAATCGGTTCTTTTGAACGGTTAGCTTCAAAACCCTGTTCTAAAATGATTCTTTTAAGGCATTACGTAAAAGCGTGATACCTGATATTTCTGCACGACATATTATTGCAATTAAGCGTTCAAATAAAGCGATAAATACATTTTGCTGTTCAGACTACATTTGTCGTTAAGTTTGTTACACGTGTTTTGATTATAAGGGCGTTCCATGAGCCCAAGTTACTTGTAGCTATGATTCAACTTATAGAAAGTAATTTAGAACCTAAATATAATTTGCATTTACGTGAATCAATGGTAAAAACATTCTCAATTATTGGCTAAATGTATTACTGCATGTTTTAATCTAATACTATTCTAATAAATATATGTTGTGAGTGTGATAAAATTCATACAAATATTTGTGTTTTGTGTAACACTTCTATTCTACTAATTCACAGTTCGCAAACGAATCGTTCAGACCGGTTTTGTAAAATAGCTCAGTTGATTCACTGAAATGATCCAACTCAAAATAACGATTCGTTCACGAATCGGACATCATTAGTAAAAGTTCGCCATGCCGGTTTGTTTTCATTTGTAAGACATGTGCATTGGTAAACCGGACACCTGCGACATTTATTTACTCTGATAATACTAACCTCTTCATTTTACTCGAACATCTTTTAAAAGATGCACGATTTGATTCAACTGACAAAACTCGAAACTGCGAATTGCATCAACTCATTCTGATTCATTTATATGGAAATCAAATAACCAGCCAAAACAAAGCAAGCATTTCCAAAACAAGTCAGATCAACGATCAACCAACCCACCCTGCCAGAGCGGCTCCTGTTGGAGACCACGGGGGCTGGAGGCAGTTCCTCGTCGCTGGAGAAGACATCCGGAGAGCCGCTGCTCTTTTTGTTTTGCGCGGACAGATTCTTCAAGTACAGCTGCACGTACACGTCCTTCTTCTGGTCGCCGTTCGGCAGAGCCACATTATGGGCCAGCAGTGCACTTTTAAGCTTATCTTTAGTGAGCACAGACGGGTCCTCCAGAAATTCCGACATGTCTGTTAGCTTGAGCAGAACACTATCGCTGGCTGAGACTGATTTATTTTATGGGATCAGTGACCATCTTAGGAGAGAGACCCCTATTGGACGCGTTCCGCAGAAAGAAGCGCTCTGATTGGTTGTTAGACTATTTAAAATCACTGGCGATAAATAGATGGGTTGAACCACTTGTTTATAAGTTTATAAGACAACTTAAAAAAATGTAAAGATTTAAAAATGGCTTCTATTGGTGGACTGATGGGCAATTGAAGTGCAGAACATCACAGCATTAAGTTATTTGTAATATAATGCTTCGAAATTAAAACTTTTATATCAGATAAAAAAGAAAAATGTTCCATTTGATAAAGGTACGTCATCATTTTATTGGCCAAATTATACAACTTGTTGCAACCAAAGACAAAATTATTAAAGAACTTAAGTCACTTTTAAGTTTTACATGTTTACATATTTCCCAGGCTGTCATGGAAAACATTTACCACAAATTCACACTACTATTGAAAAACATTTGAATAACACGTTCCTCAGGAGCACTTCCGCTGAGAGATGTTATCAAACCGAACATTGAACTCTCGCATTAACAAACAAAATGTACTGAAAGCACATGTTGTAACACCAAAAAAAGAAAAAGAAAAAGAAAAATAATCTTAACGAAAGTGATCACAGTGCTGCAGAAACCGACCGCTTATGAATGAGCTGACTGGTGTATCATGGGTATCAAAGTAAAAGCAGGCAGCTGGAGGATTAGCATTTGAACTAGCGCTCTCAGCTCTACCGCCGTCTCCTGATGCTCATATCCACAATGTGTATGTGCGTGTTGGTTTATCTCCACGCTCAAAAGTCATGCTCGGCAGTGCGGTCCGTCTCATGTGAAGAAGGGTGGTGGCACAGCACTCTGCTGGGATGTGGTTTCCTTGACCCATCCAGTCCCCTGACCTCTCCCTCTCCCGTGATCTCTCCTCCTTTGCCTCGTTGTCTCCCTCTTTCTCTCCCAACTCAGGCCTTGATCTCTGCTGGAGGGCAGTACAGGATTTCAGAGTTCTCTGATGACAGCTCCTCTGAATGGGACAGAGAGATTTTAGTGTAGGATACATAATCCGATACACAAGGCCACATATGAAGCCTATTCCGGACCTATGAGGCACTTTCAAATAGAAAAAAAAAAAATCACTGATAACCTAATAATTTAATATTGAATTAATGATGAGCAGGCATTTGATTCATTCTCATTCAGGGAGAATCGTGCCAGATATTGTATTAATTGCAGCACAACAGAAAAAGCATTTCTTCATGCAAATGAGGCGCAAAACAAGCCACTTGTCAGCTAATCGCTTAAGTAAAGACAAGTGATAGTCTCGCGCAGCCAGACCTTCAGACTAACGGCAGAAGGTCTGGGAACCTTGGCCGCTTTGAATGGTAAGGACCGCCCAAGAGGCCATATGACTGACAGATAAAGCAACCAATCACGCTTTGGTTAGTTCTGCGTCATGTTTAGGGGAGTGGAAATGTCCCCACAATAACAGACCATGTGTAAAACTCTTGGACGTATTTGAAAGATTCTATGCTGCAAACTTTAAATAGTTCACATACTTTTGAAAATCCAGCGTTCAGTTGATCCTGATAAGCGCTCATTGTCACAGTTGTAAACATAACAGCTTTCTTCTAACATAAGGGGGTTTGGCGTCACGGCATATTTGTTTCCAGGCGGAACGCTAAAGAACGTGACACGCACGTCTCCCGGAAATCCTGTATAATTCAACCAATCCGATGACGACTCTGAAACTCCCAAAGTGTTTCCAATTTTGTGTGCCGTATGCATCAGACGTTCAGCCAACGGTCTGAGGCTGAGACTAAGGCAATGACATCTGTCATGAGCCTTTCAAATCTAATGATAGTGCTGCAATTCTGCTGGACTTAGAAAATATAACAATGCCATATTATAAGCACTATATTGCAAGCTTTTCTTTTGGTTAATTAATAAAAGCGTATTAGACTGATAATGTATGTAAAGTTTAGGTTTTCAGAAATAAAGTGTACATATTTTTACATTTTTGTGATATTGACACTGGTGACAAGAATTATGAAATTTCTATGGTATCAAACATTTTGATATCATGAAGACCTTATTTAAAGCAAAAATAACTAACTATATTGTGATATATATCGTTACTGCGAAATAAAATTACTCGTGTCGTGAATCGTGATATATGATTTTGGTCATATCGCCTACCCCTAAACTGTAAAATAAAAAAATAGGAGTATTGAAGATAAACATACTGTTACTATTACTACTACTAATAAAATGTTTTTTTTTTTTTTACAGTACAAAAGGCTGTCTTAATTTCTTTATTTTAAAAGGTTAAACCACCAAGCTTTCACTTCAGTGAACACAGATTGTGCATAACCCTGCAGAGAGCCCTTAAAACTTCTGTTTTGTTGACAACAGTTGGTTTATAAGCACTTCAAGTTATCATTACAAGTTTAAGACAGTTGGAGCATTTTGTGTTCCCAAATACACGTTTTAAGTGACCCAAGCTCAGAGTAGCATTTACTGCAAACTGAGCTGCTCAGAGACAGTCATAAAACTGGATCATGAGCTGTTTGTGTGTAGAAGAATGCAGTGGTGTGCATATATTTAATTAAATCGCACTAAGCCATATCGCGATTTCGGTTTTAATTCAACCACTTGTGCAGCCCGACATACTAACTTTCTTGACTGTATCTTCACAGTATCTATGTAAACTCACCAGGCAGGACACATTTCCACAGGCCGTATGTTTTGCCTACAGCTGTCTGCCACAGACGCAGAGTGCCATCCTCTGAGCCACTGGCATACAGCTCTCCATCAGGGCTAAACCGCACACAGTGTATGGGCCCGAAATGACCCTTATATGACTCTGAAAGAGAGACAAACTTAATGTCAAGCATGAAGAAATAAGTATATATTCATGAGCCAATCTATAATAATAAGCTTTGTTTTTTCGTAATTTAATTACATTAACTCAGGAACCATATTCCTACCCATTTCCTCTCTGGTGGTGTAGTCATATTTATAAAGCTTGAAGTCATCTCCTCCAGCTACAAAGAAGTCTTTCTCAGGATGGAGTGAGGCAGAGTGAATGGAAGCAGGGGCATCAACAGTCTTAATCAGATCCAAACTGAATAAAACAGAAACCGTCTGACATTCAGTTCTCAATACATTTTAGGGCATGTTTTTGTCCTAATTAGCCCTTAAGGTAATATTTGCATGATTTGACAGATTGTAGCCATCTACCTGTTGGCTTTGTAGAAAGCAATGGTCCTCCCGTATGTGATAACGAGGATCTCCCCATCAGGAATGTACTCCATGCTGCTGACAGAGGCATCAAACGACAGTGTCTTCACTGCCTCCTTTGTGTTCTTGTCCCAAAGTCTACACATGAAAGACAACACGCACTCAGAATCAGACATACATACATAAACCGACATATATAGACATACTGTAAAATATCTGTCTGCAAAAAAGCAAAGTATCAACTGTAAAATTCAAAGACTTCATCCATTACCATTTTGGCCACTTACCGGATAGTTTTGTCCTCAGCAGCTGAGAGAATCTGTTGGTCATTGTTACACCACAGAGCTTTCTTTATGGCAGAGGTGTGGCCTGCAATCTCCTGGGGTTCTGCATTACAAATGCCATTTAGCTGAACATGTCATTTTATCTTTAAGCAATTATGATTAGGAATTGGATTCTGCAATTCAAAACAAATAAAAAAAAGTCACTTTACATACCTGCTTCAGGTTTGCTGAGATCATAGATGCGCAGTACTTTATCATTCCCTCCAGTCAGGAGACAGTTACTGTCCTGTTGATTTAACATATGCAGATAAAATCTCTTCATTTAAAAAAAATGACTCCGCCCAATTAACAGTGTGTTCGAAAACATGAAATGAAGTGACATCACTGAAATGACATTATTAATGCTGTGAACATATGGTAGTTTCATACATAGTTTGGATGATAGAGATAGAGAAAATAAATCTTAATATTGTTCAGCCTTATATCTCAACATTTTTGTATTCGAAAAGACTTGAAAGGGTACTGTTTTCATTACTTTATTCTAGTATATTTAATGCAAGAAGTAAACTAATAAATAAATACTATATTTAAAAATAATACCTGTGTGAAGTTCACAGATTTCACAATGTGCTTGTGCGCCAGTGTGAGGACCTCATCTCCAGTGACAGCATCCCATACCTTTCTGTCAGATTCAAATAAATACTAAAGGTAAAATAACGTTTCACCAATATTACTTCACCCATATCATTTTTTTGCTATTGCTTGTACTTACGCTGTAAAATCTGCTGCGGCCGTAGCTGCTTTTGTAGCTTCTTTGTTTAAGGTGGCACCCCAGACAGCACCCTTGTGACCCAAGAACGTCCCGATCCAGTCCCCTGTGTCTCCCTGGCGCAACATAGGTTTGCCATCTGCAATTTTGGAATGCCAAAACAAACTTTCAGATGTATTTTACAGACAATTAATCTATAGACAGTCACTTACTTTGAACAAATTGTTAAACAACATGCTCAATGCCTAGCAAGACCAGGTGTACTGTCAAGGGTTGGTTTTAAGATTCAAGAACACACCTACCTTTACAAGCGCTAATGAGGAAATATCCATAAGGAGTTATTCCACTGAACGCCAGATCCACAACAGGTCTGGTGTGACCAGAACAGGTGAGAGGAGTCTGTCTCATAGCCATACTCACTGGAGACCTAAAAAAAAAATGACAGGGCACATTTGGAATTTTACTCAAAAACAGCTACCCGTGTATGTCTAAAAACAAGGTGTTTAACAGGACAGAACAGATGTGCTGGCTAACAGGCTTGGCTAGCCAGGAAATCAATCATTACCTTGCAAAGACAGCAAAACAACGACACACACCAGTACTTTGTGGCCAAATTACGTATCGGGGAGGACTGTGGAGCTCAGAGCTGCACTCCCAGCTTGACAGGGCACATTTGGAATTTTACTCAAAAACAGCTACCCGTGTATGTCTAAAAACAAGGTATTTAACAGGACAGAACAGATGTGCTGGCTAACAGGCTTGGCTAGCCAGGAAATCAATCATTACCTTGCAAAGACAGCAAAACAACGACACACACCAGTACTTTGTGGCCAAATTACGTATCGGGGAGGACTGTGGAGCTCAGAGCTGCACTCCCAGCTACAGTGCTGTGCCACCAGCTACACGAGGTGTGCGTGAGTGTGTAAGCTATACTCGAGCCCTCGCTAACGCTACAGGAACATAACGGAAGCGCTAGTGTGAAAACCGGCCATCATTTCCGGCCCGCGACGCCACGGGATTGGTCAGAATCGTGTCACGTGGAGCGCGATATAGTCCTTTTTCTAACATCAAGTACAAATAACACGTTTGCTAACACGTATTGTAAAATGTTTATTGTGTAATATAAAAAAGAAGAAAAGCCTATAAGGAACGCTTATAACCGTGTATATGAGAACATTTGTTCAGTATTATGAGGTACGAGCTCAAAATGACGAGAACGTTATTATGAGGCCGTACGGTATTATAAAGACAAAGTTTTTCAGTATTATTAAATTATTATGTTATTATGACGACTATGAATCACATTTTAACCAAAAGATTTACTTTCAATCTTTCAAGTAAACTTTTTGAGCCACGGAGCGCCCCCCATAGATAAGTAATTCCTGTACAGGATAAAATTAGAACAATTTTCTTTTGAATACAGTGGTCACGACATGTAATACACATAAACAGGTTGCGGAGGGAAATGTTTTACAGACATCCAGGTGGAAACGTTATTTTAAAGTTAGGTAACATCTAGTGATGTAATGCTAATGTAATTTTTTTAGTAATGCTCAAAAACAGTATAGAAACAGTAATACACAAATATCAACAAATAAAAATGATAAACAATGGCAACAAAATAAAAAATTAAACAAATAAATAAGAAAAAAGGGGGTGTTTAATACATTACACTGGAGAAGAAGAAAAAAAACAATTTGAGACTTACATGTCATTAAAGATAGGAAAAGAGTTACACATTCTTTCATGAAAACAAAAAAGAGAGGTCTGGAGTTTGAATATTTGTATCTGTGAATGTGGAATTTTGCAAGCAGCAAAATCAGATTCACTACATCAAACTGTTAACATCCAGTGATGCTGACAAAACTGACCTGTATTCTGTGATGTCATGATAATGCCAGGGTAATTATGGGACACGTACCTGTTTTAAAGGCAGGGGAGAAATTTCTGGAAAGACTCAAAGAACATGCTGGATGGATAGATAGATAAATATAATGATTGATAAAGTATTATTAACCTGACAAATACATGTGCATCTATTAACCAATCGATCCGTACATATTTCTATGGTTTATTTATAAGACAAAGAAATGAAACGTTTGTTACATTTATTTAAAAGTTACGTCAATCTGAAACTGTAATGCTTGTGATCGTCATGAATCACAGGTTGCTACACATCTTACATAATTGTATCTCTCTGAAAATCTTGCTAAAGGCCATTCAAGATGAACATCGGCAGTGAGCACACATTTTCATGCCTGGAAAACAGAAAAGCAAACACGAAAGCCTCTCTACCTGAGTATTATCTTAGTGACACAGTAACGCTGAAATCTCTAGATGTAAAGCAGTGTGAGTCATATAGTACCAGCATGCACCGCGACAGTCTCTGAACGCACAGGGGTGGGATCACCTGATAGCGCTGAGAAGTCAAATCACTTTAGCGAATCGGTTCGTTCGCATTGTTCACTTGAATGAACCGGTTCAAAAACCAATTCACTGATTTCTATTAATCATCGCTCAAGTTAAATATTTCTTTAAATACTTCTGTTTATATTTCCAGTGTACAGTTGAAGAGTTCAGATGCAAAAGCCTCTAAATGCCGTCTGAAATTTTAATCTAAAATGAGCATTTTTGTCAGGCTCCTCTATTTAGGCCTATGTTGATTAATTTTACTTTAATGGCATAGAAAAGGACCTATACATTGCCATTAAAGTAAAATTACTGAACCTAAATATAAGAGCCTGATAAAAATGCTAATTTTAAAAGAAAATTTCAGACTGCACTTAGAGGCTTTTGCATCTGAACTCTTAAATTGTGTGATGTTTATATTTATGGTTCCACGTCAGTGAGTGGAGGGGATTCGCCCCATAAAATTAGTAAAATTAGTAATATTCTGTCATTTACTCATGCTCATGAGTAAATGAAACCCCTATGACTTTTTCCTCATTGAACACAAAAAAGATAATGACACCAAATTATATAATGACACCACATTTATTGCAATAACTTGTGAACCTCTCAACCAGACTTCCAGACACCCCAAGTTTTTATTTGACAGCATTTTTTGAATCTGTTGTTTCATTCTGTGTTCCACGTAAGAAATTTACACAGGTTTGGATCTATACAAGATAAATAATCTATAGAATTTTCACATTTGAGAGAACCGTCCGCTCAAATCGCTCTGCGAATCGGTTCAGTTGAATCGCGAAAAAGAACCGACTGATAAGAACGCTTGATTCGCGAATCGAACATCACCACTGGAGGCGTAACCGTGCAGAACCTGAGCTTAAATCCGCACCCTGCTTTACTTTATCGCATTCATTGAATCTTCTCCGTCTCAGAGCAGCATCAGCGAGCGTATACAGCAATGGCCAATTACATTCACGTCCCAGAAGGCGCGCCTGTGGTTCCTAAATTAGACGTGACTCTAGATGAGCACGATTACAGAGCCGGAGCGCTGAAACTCATCAAGACGCTGAGACCCTACTGGAAACCTTCGGAGGTCAAAACGAAGGTAATTCTCATGTCTTTTTCGTTGCCTACGATTCAGGTGGTCGCACGCCGACTCTACCCGATGCAGAAAGTCTGCATTCACTGACAGCAGCTCGTTTGACGCATTTTATAATGCAGAAAGCGAAGTTAAGCGTGTTGCGCCTTCAAATCCTGAGCTGCGTCACCAGATGGACCCGTCGGCACCATGGCGCTTAGCAGAGACGCTGCTGCCAATGCGAGCTGTCAAAGCACTCATGTTGTAACACTCTCATTAATAAAAATATATTGCTCTTACATGCGTGCATGCTACAATGTATTTAATGCACCATTACGAGATAATTACAGCAACAGTATAAATGGAAAGTAAAACTGCAAAGGGAAGAATGTGGGTGGTGGATCCTTGGATTTTGTGCATTGTATTTTTTTCAGCTTATTTATTCCTTTAAGCGAATTAGTGTCTGTTTTTATGTTATTACTATTTAATTAATTACTTTATTAGGTATTCCAATAATGACTAGTACATTTTTTCAATTAGTAATTAGTACTTATTTATTAGATACTAGTACTAATTACATGAATCCTAATAGTGACTAGTAATTGCTATGGTTAACAAATTGCAAATTTTACCTTTAAATTCTACACTGTAAAAAGTGGTAACCTTTAATTGATACCTTAAAGAGCTATTACTACCTGATTAAATCTGTAAAACTGATGTAATTTATACATAAAAAATACATTAAAAATTATGTATTTAGGTTGATTCAGCGATATTAAATAATATTTCTCACTTGAATAAAACCAGTTAATTTAAAGGTTACTATTTTGCTCAGTGTATGGAGAACTATTCATTTCCAGCTAGTATACAATAGTTGCTGGTGTCTATTATAGTTGTACTAGTCACTAGGTGTAGGTACTTAGTTACTAAGGTGTAAGTAATAGTAACTAGTTAATAGTAGGGATGCACGATACCATTTTTTTCAGAACCAATCCGATCCGATCTCAAAAACTCGTATCGGCCGATACAGATACTGTTTTTTTTTTTTTTTAAATCAATGTAGAATTTCTATACCTCTGTGTGTTGACCTGATCATCACTGTTTTGTGCTCAATCTACTAAATATAGACAACTTCATTATACAGAAAAATAACAAATGAAAAAATATATCATCATAGTCTATGACAAAAATACTATTATAAACTATAAATAGATAATTCAGCAGCAAAAGTTACTCTAAAAAAGTGCACAATAATTTTATAAAATCCAAAAAATTTAGTGAAAAAACATTATTTAGTGGGGAACTAATTTAGTTGGACTAAATCTGGTAAAATGTTACACATTGCTCTTTGTATTGTTGTAAAATACATTCATTTAAATTTCAGTTACTGTGCGTGTGAAGAACGATTCATAGTGCTCTCTACACCCGGTAGAAAGTAACATGATTTAGAAACAGCACTAAACTCCAGCAATATAAAGTCTTTTATGCAAAACCATTGATCTTTATCTACAGATCAAGAATAATAATAGGAGCATTGAATCATCTTGGAGAGAGTTTCATCTTCTTGACTGTCGTAACCACACGCGACACGCAGTTTGAATGCTGAATGGAGGATGACAGACAGCCGCAGTGGAGAGACGAGTTTACGCAAACTTGAATTTAACATTAAACAATGGAACGAAAGACTTGGAATACAGTGCATGGAAACTTTATGGTGCTTTATATGTTTTTATGCCTTTCGTGGGGCTTAACAGTAACACAGAATAGTATACACACAATATCGGATTTGTATCGGTCTCGTCTGAACGATACCCGATCTGGCAAAAAATGGCAGTATCGGAGCCGATACCGATACTGAGTATCGGATCGGTGCATCCCTAGTCAATAGTGTCTATTCCAGTTTTATTAGAACTTATCGGATACTAGAACCAATTTATGAGACCTAAAGGCACTGGAAAAGGTATAGAAGACTTTTTTTTTTAACTTTTGAATGACCTTTCACTGATGCTTTGTTAATAATTATATAATGTGGAATCTAGGTGGATGTCATTTACTGTTCTGACAGATGGACAGGACAGATGAATAAAGTATGAGGACATTTTCTACCTGCATTAGTGCCTTATGGTCATACAGCATTCCTCATTTTTAAAATGGCTCAAAGTCAATATTTTTTGTAGGATAGTCAGTGTCTAGGCATTTGTTTGCTATCCAGTGAAATTACTATAACACTAATAGGTGTGTGCTTACAGCTAGCACAGAAAGACGACTGTGACGGTGACATTACACTGCTCTGTTCACCCCAGAGCGCTCTGCATTCATACATGATTGATAAGCCTGAGATGGGCGGAATCAAGAGTACAGTGGAGTACATCTATACACAAAGCTCAAAACTTCCTTAATGATTGAACAAGGCATTTCACAGAACTGCCTTTTCCAAGAACAAACATATTTCATATGACTACTTATTCTCCTAGAAGTTTTTAGCCTTTACAGACAAGCAGCATCTCAAGGAGTTTCTTAGAAACGTAGTATGTACAAAGTCAGTTTCACTAATTACAGAACCTGCATGTATTGACTATTGACCACGGCATTAACAATGTTCAATGTGATGGTTCAGGTTTCCGTCGCCTTGGTGTTGTTGAGTACTGTGAAGATAGCAATCTTTTCTTTAGCTGTGCACCAGGGGAGACACCTTGAATCAAGTTATTCAAGTGCTACTACTGGCATTGAATCGAATGTTCTCTGCATTTCGGATTGCGAAGGCCGAGTGGAAATTTCCATGAAGTCATTGGTAATTTATTGATGATTTTGCCACAGAAGTTCACAGCTGAAGAGATTTTGAAGGATATCTGAACAATATTGGACCTCATGGACAAAACATATACAGAAACCTGAGATGTTCTTCAAAACTTCTTCGTTTGTGTTGCACAGATAAAAAAGAAAGTCATACAGGTTTTGGAGTGACATGAAGATGAATAAATGATTACAGAATTTTCATTCTGGGGTGAACTGTCTCTTTAAAACCAAATAAGAACTCACTTCCCCATTACAAGTGTAAACTCACACATCTGAAGCCTCCATCCGGATAAAAAGTCAGCAGTCTGTAATTATATTCTTGTAAACCGAACACTGTTTAGCCTAAGGTGCGGAACAGTGTTTCCTTGTATAAACAGAGTTGGTAGGGGTGTGTCACGTCGCTCGCATGTGGGAGGGAAACCAGATATGTATTGGGTTGTTTTCATCAACTTTGAAACAAAATTGAGTGCTCAGCACATGCCAGACCACTCTGACACAGGCAGAAATCAAATTCCTGACGTTCCGCCCACTGCCAGTCAATCCCAGATAGTACAGATGATTGTGGCCTGGAATGCTTGGCGTCCCAAACACGCTCCTTTTTTACATTAGTAGACAATGTAAATTTGTTCAGCTCTGTCACCCTGAATACACCCACTTTTGATTCAAAATAAACTAAAAGTAGTTTAGTTGTTTTGGTTACACTGAGTTTGGTGATCAGTCTTTTTTTTATATACATGTAAATATGAGGTTTCTCTTCAGCGAAAAAAAGGAACTGGTGCCATGTGATGCTGATCTCAATAATGAGTTTTTTAATGAACATCACTAAAGGTTAACCTCAAACCATCTGACCGAGCTGAAACCGATGAACTCTCCGCTTGTTTTCTTCCTCTTTCTGCAGGCTTTCACCGACGGTATCACAAACAAGCTGATTGGCTGTTACGTCGGCGGGTCCATGCAGGACGTGGTCCTGGTTCGGGTCTATGGGAACAAGACAGAACTGTTTGTGGACCGTGAGTTCGAAGTGAAGAGCTTCCGTGTCCTGCAAGCGCACCGATGTGCTCCACGCCTCTACTGCACCTTCAACAACGGCCTGTGCTATGAGTTCCTGCAGGGAGTGGCCCTGGAGCCCGAGCACATCCGCGGCCCTGCCATCTTCAGGTTAGAAACTGTGTGTTCTAATGGGATGATCATCCAATCATCCTTTATAATACTGAGCTAATTGATTCAGGACGGCGTGACGGGGATGGAGATACCGGTGTTGACCTCCAACTAGCCAGACACTTGTCACATAACCCCAAACCTTACCCAGTAATCCCTTAAGACATGAATGACGCACTGCACTCTCTCCCGCCAATACTAGTCACTCTGACCCAAACCTCCCGCCAATACTAGTCATGTCTCAGACAGCTGTGAAAGAACAAGGCTACTGTGTCAGCAGGGCGATGACTAAAGTGTTGGCGTTTAAATGCACAACCGTTCAAAAGTAAAAAAATTAATACTTTTATTCAGCAACGCTGGATTAAATTGAGCAAAATTGACAGCAAAGACATTTATAATGTTACAAAGCTTTTTATTTCAAATAAATGTAATTCTTTGGAACTTTCCAGCTGTTTTTCACATCGATAATAATAAGAAATGTTTCTTGAGCACCAAATCAGCATATTAGAATGATCTCTGAAAATGCAATCTAAACCTGAAAAAAAGACATTTTTATTTGTTTACAGGCACATTGCAAGGCAGATGGCAAAGTACCATGCCATACATGCCCACAACGGCTGGGTGCCCCAATCAGACCTCTGGCTGAAGATGAGCAAGTTCTTTTCTCTTGTTCCTACACACTTTGAAGACCCTGAGAAGGACCAGAGGTGAGCTTTAATTTGAAGGATTGCATCGTGTTTTATGGTGTGATTGTGTTTTGACATGTTTTTTTTTTAGCAAAGCAGAACATGTAGAGTAACACACCCTTCGAATATAATGTCTCTGGGCGATATTAAAGCTGTCAATACAGGGAGGTTCAGATCTCAGCTTCACTTGCATAGACGAACAGAAAGTACTACAGGTTCTTTAGATGTATGCTGTTTCTCTTCATATTCAAAACATGTTCCATTCAATATGCTTTGCTTACATTGTGGTTTGAAAATCCTCCCAATGTTACAATGTTACATGACATGACTCCTCTTGGCACAGACAAATATGTTTGTACAGATGCAAGTTGAGAACAACATGCATTAAGAACACTGCCTATCTGATTCTCAAAGTGCTTTACATAAGATGACAATAATCCATATTAAAATATAATAAAAAAGACTTATTTATTCAACAATATTAACATGAATATCAAAAGAAAGATATTATTATTAATAAAACAACAAAATTAAACAGTCAAGTAGGGTGTTTGGAAATATTTTACCGTTAGATTTAAATATAAAGTCAGTGCCAAATACCCATGAAATATCTATTGTCTAATTTTTGCAGATGCAACTAAATTTGTACATTGTCTGAAGGAAATGTGAGTGGTTGTACATGCAAAACTGAGACATGGAGAATGTTGCTGTGTAGGTTGTTAGAGTGTTTGTCCAAGTCAAGTTTGAGCAAAAGTAATAGTTCAGGTATGTTTGAATTTAGAGTTGGATTAAAAATGGATCATTTTTATGCCTTAGAGGCACTAAAAATTATTGCGCAACAACCGCTGACAACAAATTACACGCCCATACAGTGTCTGTGCAGTTAGTTTACTATTTATAGATAGTGGTTTTTAAGATATTTGTCTTATTGAGTGAGGCAGGTTTGTCTACTCTTTGAATCACGCTGGAACACAAAAGCGCGTTTGTGTTTTCTGAATGCATGTACGTGTCGTCTGTTTCTAGGCTGAACAGTGAGGTGCCCAGTGCTGCGTGTCTTAGAGACGAGATGATTTGGCTTCAGCAGAACCTTTCTAAACTAGGTTCCCCAGTCGTTCTGTGTCACAACGATCTGCTCTGTAAGAACATCATCTACAACCAACAGGAAGGTGAGTCCAACAAACCCCACCAGCTTCCTTCAGCCACAGCGTATGTTTCCCCAACCCCCCCTGCCTAAGGTAGGCCTAAATTGAGTGTTTTCACCTCTGAAATATAGCATGGATGCCCTTTCCTAAAGGGTAGTAAAATTACATTCTCATCCAATTTCAATCAAGGCATCAGGAGAATCCACTGGTTTCCATAAAATGTGTTTTCTGTTCTTGAAATCAAAAGCAAATGTGTGTTTGTGTCTTCATGATGTACAGACTGGCGACTGTCTGCCGCTACCTGGCCCACAGGATGGAGAGTGAATGCGAGTGTGACATTCCTGTTATGCAGAATGTTTTCAGTTCTTTCCTTTCTGCAAATATATTTATGAAATAAGGAAGTTTTTCTATAAAACACAGTATCAGACTTTCATAAATATGCCTAGCTCAGGCTAAGGCTCTTCAGCTTTATTTATACAATGACAAGAAAATAACAGGAAGGAAATTTAAAACCTAATTTGAATCAAAGCAAGTCATTTGATCATTTTGAAGTTTTAGTAATACAGTATTTATTTAAAATATGTAGATTAGACTAGGAAAATAAACAGCGTTATTTATTATTCATTTACTATATTACTCATTAATTTATACATAACATTTATATGTAACAGAATTTAAAATGTATAGATATATACACATTTTAATAAAATATTCTAATTGTATGTATATTTTTAATTTGTCATTATTCTTATTTTAATAATTTATCTTTGGTTTGAGTGGATGTTGACATTTTTGTCATGTTCTCAGGTGCCAAACCTAAAAAAAAGTACAATATTTTTATATAATAAATTATATTTATAAATAATATAATGAATAATTAATTATATATTTGTTATATTAAATATTTAGATATATAGGTATTTGTCATATATTATACTGTAGTTGTTATTTAAAATTTTATATACCGTACATGTACACACACACACACACACTTACATTATTAATTAAAAATCACCCTCTGTTCACTCAAAATCATCAGCATAACAGGAATGACCCACTTTGAAGAGTATGAGCATGAGAAAATGGCTGCTCTGCCACAGCAGTAGTGTGAGAATGTGTAGTTCCTGTCTCTCACTTTTTTCTTTTTTTCTTTTGAAGTGGCAGCAACAGTCAAACTGATTACCAACAGTACGTGTATCGGTTGCCCTAAAGGTATCACTTGCCCCTAAAAACTGTTCTTGAAGCAGTAAATAATTGACAACAAGCGATTAAAGATTGGGTCATGGAAATCTGCTTCGAGAACAGGGTTTGGAGGCAGCTGTGACCTTGGGCACTTAAACTGTTTTCAGAAAAAAAACCACACCACTTCCTCCAACTCGCTTTTAACACAGAGACCAAGGGGTGGGAGCAAGTTTTCACAGTAAAATGTTTACGTTTTTGACATTCCTGCTCACTCAGCCCCCTCCCCTTCCCGGTGAGACCTATAGAAGCCAAGAACGGGAGTGTTATGCAATAGGCCAGCTTTCCGAGATCGTACCTATTTTTGTTTTTCTTGCCTTTCGTTGACACTCAGGGAGTCAAATAAGTTTGAGAGTCCCACAGGCTCGACCTGCACAGGAAGCCACTGTGGCATTTGCATAGAGCCAGTAACTTGGGGCCTCACTGGCTGGCTAATGGACCAATGGGGATGCTGTGTGGTGGGGGTGTGCGTTTATGAGATGAGCCGTGTTTGTTCTTAATGGGGGAGGTGCCCAATGGCCTCTCTGCAGTGAAGCTGTGTGTGTTCTGTGACAGATGTGAGTTTGCCCAAATCTCTTCATCTGCTGCACAGGGCTATAGCCACTGACTGGAGGTGTTCAGTGTGTCCCGCTAGGACGCCACCGGGTCCGGTAACCACCTCACGTGTCTCTTTCTGTAGACCAACACTTCTGTCCAATGTCAATCAAACTTTTTTTCTACACACCATAAGCTCTAGAGCACTGGGAATGCAAGGCAACGTAAAGTCAAACACACATTAGGTGCAATAATGTGTATATAACAAACTAGGCAGTGATTTGTCATATATTATACTGCAGTTGTAAACATATATATATATATACACACGCATTACACATATGTAGAGTGAGAGGAGTAAGGCTTTGTATTCTGAAGTCAACACTGTCTACATCACCTGACCGAATATATAACATGCTGTTTTTTCCACATGCATGCTATAAGTGCATGAAATCTGTCCCCATGTCTTGTTCACTTTGTCATTTGTTTATTCTTTCTTGTCTTGCACCAGAATGCAAATCCTTACTCCTTTTCCCATATTTGATTTGATAAGTCATTTAAATTACAGATAATGCCCATTGTAGTGTTGGTTTGCTAATACAGGCAATAGATTGTTACAGTAAAAAAGAACAAGGGTTATTAAGAAGACAATGCCCATGTGCTTCTCTAAACAAATTGCTATTTGTTTCCCCTCCTGCAGGAAATGTCAAATTCATTGACTACGAATATGCTGGGTACAATTATCAAGCCTTTGACATTGGGAATCACTTCAATGAATTTGACCTGACCGATCAAGTCATTGCTTGCTACACCACTGCTATACAGACTATGTGCCACTAGATGGCGACATTGGCCATTTTCTCTCCTTTACCTTCTCTGTCCTTCCAGCCCTGTGGTTTTATAGTACAGCCGTCTCCGTTTTATTAGTCTTTATTTATTTGCATTTTGTAAAGCTGTTGACTCTTCTCTAACCTGACTTGTTTATCCATTTTTGCTTTATTCACTTTTATTTTACTCTTTTTTTACTTTTACTGTTGTGTTTCCTCCTGTAGAGCAGAGGACTGTTTATGCGAGGCGCTCTTTCTGTCACCAGTAACGAGATTTCCCTGGAAAACTTGCAATAACTTTGCCCACTCACTAATAATTTGTATTCAAGCAGGAATCATTGTTTGTTTTCAGTTGAAATATATATATATATATAAAAAATAAATAAAAAAAAATACAAATTTTTTCTTTAAACATAAAATAAAACAAAAAGTTGCAAGTTTTCCACTTTTCTTCTCAGCAGACTCATGTAAATGGTGATCCATCAATTAGATAAACTTTTTTAATTGATAACAAGTCATTTTATTTTGAAAAGATGATCATAATTTTTATATTATTATTATTATTATAAAATTTTTAAACATGTATTGTTTTTAATTGCTTGTTTCTAATTTAAGAGTGTTGAAATATTGCACTTTCCAGAATATAGAATCAATTTCACTTACCCCTACACTTAAAACCTTATAATACATTATTAAAAAGTGTTAAAATCAGGTACATTTTATTGAATGTTTTGAGAGTAACTTTTTTGACATCATTACCAAAATGGTCAGTATCTGAGAATTTTAATTCAGAAACAGTATCTTTTCAACAGTTCAAAAGTTAATTGAGCGCAACTTTTTGTCCACAAAAAAAAAAATCATTACCATCACACACAAAATCAAAAACCTCCAATAGGAATGAACAGGTCATTATTAGAGGATGTGAAAAATATTTTACATGAAATGAAACCGTGTGAAAAAAGTTTCATTTTTCAAAGTGTCCCTAATTGAAGAATCACCTATATATAACATGCTGTTTTTTCCACATGCATGCTATAAGTGCATGAAATCTGTCCCCATGTCTTGTTCACTTTGTCATTTGTTTATTCTTTCTTGTCTTGCACCAGAATGCAAATCCTTACTCCTTTTCCCATATTTGATTTGATAAGTCATTTAAATTACAGATAATGCCCATTGTAGTGTTGGTTTGCTAATACAGGCAATAGATTGTTACAGTAAAAAAGAACAAGGGTTATTAAGAAGACAATGCCCATGTGCTTCTCTAAACAAATTGCTATTTGTTTCCCCTCCTGCAGGAAATGTCAAATTCATTGACTACGAATATGCTGGGTACAATTATCAAGCCTTTGACATTGGGAATCACTTCAATGAATTTGCAGGTAATGCGATATGAACACAAATTAAGCTATTGTGTAGAAGAGAAAAGACCCTGCTTAACCAGGTGGGTGTGGCCTTCTTGTGATTGACAGGTCTGAATGAGGTGGACTACACCCTGTATCCTGGGCGCACTTTTCTTCTCAGCAGACTCATGTAAATGGTGATCCATCAATTAGATAAACTTTTTTAATTGATAACAAGTCATTTTATTTTGAAAAGATGATCATAATTTTTATATTATTATTATTATTATAAAATTTTTAAACATGTATTGTTTTTAATTTCAAGGAGTACAAATCACAGGGCACACAGGTCTCCAACATTGAAGTGGAGGTGCTGTACGTGCAAGTCAACCGCTTCGCCTTGGTGAGTCGAAACTGGATTTATCCGCCACGGTCTGGAATCGTGACGCATTTCGACCCATCTGCACCCTGCCAAATTAAACATCAGACTTTAGTTTTTTCAATGTAATTACTTTCTTTAATGACATGCAGCATTTTACAAAGTAAACTGGAACATCGTGAGCAGTTTTAACTATTTAGCAGGTAGATCGTCTGCATTAGAGCGACGCTTGAAGTGGAGACAAAGGTATGAATAGTGATTGCAAGTTGTCAGGGAAGTAGCCTTGACATCTTGCCCACCTTCGCAGGCGTCTAATGAGAGGACCTCTGGGTGTTTGTGTGTGTGCGCAAGTCATTCTTTGATGATCAAGTAGCACACCTGCCCTTTCTTGACGATAATATTTGCATTGGAGAGGAAAACTAATTTAATATCCAGTTTACTCTCGCAGTTCAGTCTTTTGTGTTCAATAGACGTGTTAATTTTTTAATTTCCAGTCTGTCAGGGGAAGAAGGAAAAAAAAAACCCCACAAAGAAAAACTAAATCATCTTCTCGCTCTCGGATATGGAGAACAAAACTGAGGGAGGCACTGTTTTTTCTCCTGTCCCTGAGAGGGACCTTGAGAGACGCTAAAACAAATGCCAGAGGAATGCCACAGTGTGGGGCTTAATGAACGGATGTGCGTGATTTGTTGCCTTTCATTTTGGATTCCTTTTTCTGCGCCTTTAATTGAAAGCCCAGAGAAAACTGAAGAGTCCTGAAAAATATTGGCATATACTCATTAAGTGTCATGTTAATGCACTAACTTGCCATAAACAGATTAAGCCATTATTATGGTTTCTAGAAATCGAAGACAGCTGGCTTATGCTTTTAATAATCAAAATGTTATATTCTGATCATTCATTTATATCTATAATATATCATGTAGATGATATAATATCAAACAAAGGTGATTCTGAAAAATATCGGATACAGTTGTGAAAAAGTTACAAAGAGGAAATCAATAGAAAATTGCCAGAAACTGTTTATACAATAATTTATAAGCTTTGTACACCACCGTTCAAAGGTTTGGTCAGTAAGATGATTTTTTACAATAAAAATGAATACTTTTATTCAGCAAGGATGCATAAAATCGATCAAAAGGGACATTAAAGACTTTCTGTTTATCAAGGAATCCTGAAAAAGGGTTTCCACAGAAATATCAAGGAGCTGTTTTCAACATTGATAATAATAAGAAATGTTTCTTGAGCACCAAACCAGCATATTAGAATGATCTCTGAAGGATCATGTGATGCTGAAGACTGGAGTAATGATGCGGGAAAAACAGCTTTACCATCACAGGAGTAAATTACGTTATATAATTATTATATAATATTATATTATATATTATATTGAAATAGAATACAGTAATTTTAAATTAAAATAATATTTCACAACAGTATTTTTGATCAAATAAATGCAGCCTTGGTGAGAATAATGGACTTCTTTCAAAAACATTAGAAAACCAAAACCAAACCCAAACGTTTGAGTGGTAGTGCATTTTACATTCATTTATAACTATATAAAAAATAATTTAATTGAGTTTATTTAACTAATATTTCCAAAAACTCTCTCTAAATATTCCAAGGACTTGTCATTTTAGATAGACGTGGGTGTGTGGCACCCACTGAAGCTCTGTTTATTATGTTACCCTGATGTTTACACACCATCCTCACATGCCTAAGCCAGGAGACACAGAGTTTTATAAAAGATGGTCTGAATATACTCAGAGATTGTGTCTGAGGGGGTTCGGGACCCTTGAGTCTGGCAGAGGCAAACATTTATTCTGTGCAGTTGAGCGAAAAACACAGAGGATAGAGACTTTATTATAGGCCAGCAAACCCATGATCTTTATTCACATGATGGCAGGAGTGATTCAGTCTCTTCAGAGGGCTTTTATATAAATGCCACATTTTATAAGCTTTTACTTCACTGTCAGTGATTTAGAATCAACACAGATAACTTCCATGCAGTTATCTTTTTTTCCTTTTATTAATGGGTCCACTAAAAGGAAGAAGTCTTTGCTTAGAAAGGCGTGGGTCAAATGTTTCCAAGCAACAATACAACATACAATCTGTCACAGTTAACGCCAGTGTCAGGGTGAATCTCACAGAGCCTGTCAAGAATATCTCTTAGTGCTATTTTACCCTGAAATCAAAATAAAAAATTAAGAACATTTTGTGTTTATTAAATGAAGCCTCTTTTTTTGGGAACATTGAGATTTGTGCATTGAGACATTATTTTTTATAACAGTTAAGCATCCACCTCCTCTTCTCAGTTATGCAATGTAAATCACATTTTCATTAATGTAATGAGAACAAATTATATATTTATAGATAATTTGAAATATTAATACATTAAGGCAGTATTCGTTGCACTAAATTTAAATTACACTGATTCTAATCAAAATAAAAATGCTTGGTTTTGAGGATAGATTAGATTTTCCTATGATTTATTTATTTATATATTTATATTTACACAAAGCCAAAAATCTTCCAGGTACTGAAAATAGGCTTCTCTCATATACAATTGTCTTAGTTAAAATTGAAATTAAATTGAAATTAAAATAAATTTTCTTAGCTTAGTTTTTCTTAATTTCTTAGTTAACAATGAAAACACTGATATGAATATGATTATAAATATATATAATAATATAATTTCTACATTTCTCTCTTCATTTTGGGATACAGTATGATTTTTTTTTTAGATTAAGTCTACCCTGATATCTTCCTCTGTGAAAAAGTTAAAACTGTCCTCATGGTCTTTGGTTTTTGTTCTCCCCAGGCATCTCATTTCTTTTGGGGACTGTGGGCATTAATCCAGGCTCAGTACTCCACTATCGACTTTGACTTCTTGGGGTATGTTTTCACTTTTGAACAACATCCATATAATCAAGATTTAAACTATGTATGCTCATTCTTGGCCACCAAATGTGCTTTTGCAGATATGCAGTTCTCCGTTTCAGCCAGTATTTCAAGATGAAACCAGAGGTGACGTCACTGCTTCTTCCAGAATAATCTCTCAGGTCATGGTTTGTGCTACTCTAGAGAAGGGCTCCCCCTGGTGGAAACAAGAACTAGCTGGAGACCTCTTCAATTTGTAGACTGAACATTGCACTTACTTGTCTGAACACATCATTTTAGATAAGCATCTCTGAACTCAAAATTGGTTTAGTGTTGTAGAAAACCAAGCACCTAAGCTCTCCTCCTCGCTTTTATGTGGCAGTCAAGAGAGAGGGTCACCCCAGTGCCCTAGTCCATTTTAGTGATATTGCCAATTGAGGAAGCAAACAACTGACATATAGAACCTCCCACAACAACAATTATTGTCAGAAGTCAGAGAGGAGGGCCGCTGGGTCTGTTCTCAGCAACTAACTATCATCCTAAAGGTCATTCCTGCTTGTTTACACAACTTTTAATGGGAGAAATCGGTGTACTGTAAGATGATGTTGGGGTTACAGTATGGATAGTCACTGATTCTTTCTAAACGGGGAACTTCTGGCCTGTCTGTTCTTACGAGGGTTGTTCCTGGCACAGCCGCGGTGAGATGTGTAATTCAGGGACCAATAGAAGCTTCGTTGTTCATTTCTGGCAGACGTTTCCTCCCCCGTCCTCACTGTGAACCACTGTATAGCGCATTCATAAAGTTTCTCATTGTTTTCTCAGCGTGGTGCTTGGAGAAAGTAGACGCACAGTAGCCGTTTCTACAACGAGCCGGTAGCTAATCTGAAGCCCACACCAAAGTGCTGATATTTCTTGCTTGTACATTATGCACAGTGTATTTTTCCACATTAGAAAAATTACATTTCAACGGTGGTTTTTGTACTTATTTAAATGGCGCTGTTAAAGAGCTCGCTCTTGAGACGTGTGCTTTTTCTGGGAGGTATCAGTGAGCTTTTTGCAATGGATGTATTTCCTGAAAGCCTTAATGATGGTATCGCCTTCTGGACGCACTAAAGCTTTTGTATTCGTACTCCCCGTCCGCATAGCTAAACGACAACAAACTGACTGTTTTAAGAACAAAATCAGTCCTCACTTCACCTTGCAATGGGCCACTCTTTCTGCTTTAAGACATCTTACTGATACTGATTTCATAATATTTTAGTCTAGGCTGATCTAGTTTTGTGTTTAGACACCATGGTGACCACTTCAATCAACTGATTTATTTAAATTATTTGACATAAAATATCTTGGAGAAAAAGAATAGCCATCATGAATATAAAAAATGGCACTGAAATCAATTCCAGTTAGTTTCTAATCAGTGTACTCAGTACACATGAGCAATGTAATGTAAAGTGTGACCAATATTTTTTTCCCCCCTAGTTTTCTGGTGCAAACCTCAGCTCTGAGACTTGCCTTCGCACCGCCTGGCTACCCTCATTTACCTCAATTTCCTGCGTCAGTTTGCCTATACTACAAACAACCATATACAATTCTGTAAATACTAGAAACTGTGAATTTCTGGTTGTTTTATTGTATTTTGACATATGCTTCTTTTTTCTATGCCAGTTCTTTTCTGTCAAGGTTGCACCTTGATCATGTTTTTGAACTGTCAAAGACCACACAGAATGCTACATTTTACTTCTTCCCTTTTTTTTTTTTTTAAAGTAATACGCCAGAAATGTTCATCCAACATCTAGTGGGAAATCTCTCTCTTTTAGCAGTCTATGAAGATTAACTGATTTCTTTGCACTCTTTAACATTTGTATAAAACCGAAAGTGATGGGTGGTTCCAACTTTCAGCCAATGAAGTGCTTCTGGTGAACATAAAATGTAAAGGACTGCCTCATGCAAGCATCTACTGGCGGTTTTTAGTGTAGGTGTATATGTACAACTGTAAACAAATTGTAAAAGAAAATCTTTCCTTGTTATTAAACAATTTCTGTTGTCAATAACTAAACAGAGATATTCTTTTTCTAAGAACTGTTAAGTAGATTTAATAATCCGTGGATGAAATCCTAAAGTGTTGTATTGTAGATTCTGTAACAAATCATTTGAATAGAAATAAAGTAAAATTAAAATTAAATAAAATTATTCTTGTCTTGATTTCCCATTCTGCTTACAAGAAAGAGATTGTGTCGTTAAATTAAAAAAAAAAAAAATGTTTAACCCTCATGTTGTGGTCGGATCATTTTGACCCGGAGAAGATTTTCTTTTTCCCAAAAATGCTACTTATCGAGGGGATATTGGGGATTTTTTTTCTTTACACTTTTGGGTCAAAATTGCCGGCCTGCAAAAAAATAGCTTTTAAATTTCCCATTTTCATGAGATATTATTACCAAATATTGTATTTAATCTTTTATCAGCTTATTTTCTTTCAATTAGCATTGGTTTTGTATTTCTTTTTGGAACTGACTGATCATAGGCCTCATTGATCTGAGCTTATGCACCTAAGTTTTTGAGAGAACTTAGTCAAAATTATCCACAAATAATGTTTTTTCTCTCTCTCAAAAACCGAGGTGCATAAGCTCAGGCCTACGACCAATCAGTTCCAAAAAGAAATACAAAACCAGTGCTAATTGAAAGAAAATAAGCTGATAAAAGTTGAAATCCAATAATTGGTGATAATATAGCATAATGGGAGATTTACAAGCCATTTTTAAAAGGTAGGTCATTTTGGACTGGGAACACCAAATTAAATAAAGGATTTTCAGCACAGCACAATGGTTAAAACTGTAAAGTTACACTGAGTAATGGATTAAGCCACCATTTTTTTTGTTCACAAAAGTAGTTAACGGCAGCAATTTGGGGGAAAAAAAGCATGCCTACATTTTATGCTACAGAGTGTTTCAGAAAGAAATAATTATAACTGTGCTCCAGTTCCGACTGTAATTGAATTAGTTCCAGTCCCTCCAGCGACTTCCACCAAGAGCTCTGCATTAATTACCAAATTCAATATCTGTATTCACGCCTCAACTTATTTCCATTTTACAAAGGTCAAATTACAAACACTTGTCTGAAATCATTACAAGTGTGCGAGATGCACAACATATCGACATATTAGGACAATTCTTGTGCCTAATTTACATACAATAATATGAGCAAAAACATATAAGCCTCAAAGTTTGTTCCCTACAAACTCCTCTACAATGTTTTGTCATTAAAAGCAAGATGCATAGAACAAAAAGCCCATGCACACTGCACGCATCTATTCATGCCTCCGCTTTTTCCACAACAGGTGGTAGACATGGACTAAATGACTGAAGCTTAAAAGCAGCTGAAGGCAGAACGGACCAGACAAAGCTCGCATTCACAACATCTCTTTTAACACACCGCACGAGGGTGTAATAAAGCAATACACAGTTATGGGAGCGTGTCTCATAGAGACAAGGTCATGATAATACAGTTTGAGGAATAAAGATGTAAAAGCCACTGGGTTTGTGAGCCACAAACAATGTGCAGTGGGTCAGGATGTTCATTCATCTTGATTAGATGTGCCAACCTAATTACAAGCGGAGGAAACAGTAATTAGCACAAGTCTCACCTCGTTAATCACAAAAGACTTCTTCAGTCTATTTTTATCTGATTAATGGCTCTTTAAACATGGGGGGGGGGGGGTTTATCTAGTTTTATTGCACTGTAACCTCATTAGTTTTCATTGTTTAATGGAAGCTCTTGTTGTAGATAATGTGTGTATCTTCACAATGAGATGACTAATAGGCCGATCTGATGTTTTGAGGGTATTAATAAAGACTGTTTCTTTTATGGCTAGCAGCATTTGTATATACATGTCATAATATGGCTGTGTGTCAATGCTAAATCACATTATGTGCATTCATGACTAGTAAAAATGATTAAGATAGGAAAGACACCACAGGTAAATCGAGTAAAACGTCATAAATAACACCATAAATACCCAGCTGATTAGTCACAGTACATTAAGACAGTTGTTTTGTATGACAAGTTTTTGGAAATGGTATGTTTAAGATGTCTAACTAAATATGCACAAATTTGCATACATTTCCAGAACAGAATTTTGAACCTAAATAAACCCAGGTTCAAAGTTATTGTTTCATTTTGTTGACATATTGAAGTTTTATGGAAAAAGGCAAATTATATATGAACAAGTCCCTCTGGAAAAACCTTCAGAATATAGATATGAATAGAACTGTAACGTTTGGTGTATATACTGTAAGTGCTACTGAGGTGAAGACTTCTGACTCAATGCATGAGGAAAAAACTCATTTTGAGAAAACACAGATATGTAATTGACATCTACAGACGCAACTAGATAAAGTGTAATAAAATAAACACTTCAGTGTATATTTTGGATGTTTTCTTTCCACTAGACTAAAAGATGACATAAATAACCCAAAATCTCAAAATTGACCACTATGTGAAAAAAACATGGATTTGCCTGTAATGTTTTGCCTTGGCTGAAAACAACACCAAGTCTGCAGCATCAAAAATGTGTAAATGCTTTAAAGGGACAGCTTATCAAAAAAAAAAAAAAAA